TATATATATTCAAGATGGATCAGTTTAGAAGGCTTCTTAGCGTCAGTTTCTCACCTTCGAAAGCCTGTGAAACAGTCAGTATATTCATTTTGAGACAAATATATATTTATATTCGACATGACATCGTTCATTTGTGTTAAAAGTTGAATAGATCGGACTCGAAATGCAAAAGTTCAAGTTCGAGTCCGATTCCTTCAAAAAATATCCTAGTTTAAATTGTATTGTGATTCTGTAATGTTTACTAGTAAACAGTAAAATGTCCTGCCATGATTTCTGATACTATTTGGTTAGTTATACGTGGAGAAAAGAAAAGGAAATTAAATTCTTCGATTTCAAGGATGTGTTATATTTTTCTACTTAATTAAACTAACTAGTTTGTTTCGAAAGAAAAAGTGTTACTTTCTAATGTCTATATTTTCTAATTAGAAACGGGAAACATATATCTTTTCCTTGTATTTTCTTCTTTCCCGTATATTTTCCATATATCAAGCCCACATATATCTTTTCATTTTTCTTCTACTTTTTTAATTGTTTGAAAGATTAAACTCTCATCTATTATATCATTTTTCTCCTGTAGTTTTATCACTTCTTTCGAGATAAACAAATGTCTCGAGACAACTCGTCCTCTTCTGCTTTATCTGATATACAGCAGATATTGACTAAATTAGCTATTTTACCAATAATGCACAAGTATATAATGATCATTTTGTACTTAATTGGAAATATTGGTTGTATTTTAAATGTATTTATATTTCTTCAACATCAGCTACGTTCAAATCCATGTTCAATATATTTTTTGTCGTCGACTATAATTGATTTTCTTATAATAAATAAATTTCTTCTTCTTGGTGTATTGAATGCATGGGATAATACAATAACTTCATCTCCACGTATCAGTTCATTATGGTGTAAAATGTCTAATTATCTTCTGCTTATTTTGCCAGTACTTTCATCTACATACATTGTATTGGCATCAATTGATCGTTATTGTACAAGTTCATTAAATCATAAAATTCGACAACTAAGTACAGCAAGAACATCACGCATAGCTGTTACAGTGACATTCATTGTTTGGGCAATATTCTCACTTCATATTCCATTGACATTTGATATTATTAATCGTACACCCGGAGAACCAAAATCATGTACAGTCCCAAAGAATCACGACACATTTGTAATTATAGTCATAGCTTGTTCACGTATTATGTGAACAACTATACGTCAGCTAAATTCGCACTGGTTCGCTCTGCGATCATCGTCCATCTATCCGTTTTTTATCAGATTTTTCATCATTTTTGCCTCATATTCAGTGAAAACCTTATAGTCACATCAGAGACCTTAATAAAACATGACAACGATTACTGTTTTTTTGTTAAAAACTCAA